CATACCTACATGTCAACACAGCACTACCGCGGGTCGCTCAAAGGCCCTTATGCGGTAAATAATGTGTACACAGGATTGTAAAACCATTTTTACAATTTCCTACTTTTACCACGAGTTGTAAAATGACTCATGTGGTAATTATTATCATCATCATCATCATCATCATCATCATCCCCATTATCTTTTCATAATCTGATTCTGATTAATCTGATTATTCTGATTATTCTGATTATTCTAATTATTCTGATTATTCTGATTAAAAATCTACAAGACTTGATGTCTACATCGAGAAAGGAAGTACCTGCATTCAGGAATGCGGATGAATATATTACAGCAAAGATATACATTTCTCATTCAGAATGATCAAAAACAAATAAATGAATGAATGAATGAATGATTGCACTAATAAAAATATTTAATGAATCAATATTCATATATTTCAATATCTTAAGAAATTAAAGTTATTTATTAATAAATAGAGAACATTTCCTTTTATTTCATATATAATAATTAAATTTATATTTAAATAGTGCAAATGTAGGAAAGAAATTTTGAATCTGATTCTGATAAGAAATATATAAGTCTTTGCTAGATGAATGAAATGACATAAATGGCAGCCAGCACTCAGGAGTGCATTTTAAAATATATCAAGGCTATATATTTTTATTCCAAAATTATGAACAAATGAATATGAAGTGAGAGACTTAATAAATACATATGAGAGAGAAAGACAGAGAGAGAGAGAGAGAGAGAGAGAGAGAGAGAGAGAGAGAGAGAGGGAGGGAGAGAAAATTTTTATTATATATATATATATAAATTTCATAAGAAATGCTAAGAAGATATATTGATATAAAGATTATTAATAAATGTTTATACGTATATGAAAGAAATATGATTATTTTTTTGGAATAAAAATGCATAAGTCTTGGTACATAAATGAAACGATTGATATGGCTTGCCTGCACTCAGGAGTGCATATGATACGTTCACAGTAAGTACATGCCTGCACTCAGAAGTGCATATGATACGTTCACAGTAAGTACATGCCTGCATTCAGGAATGCAGAAGAATATATTATAGTAAAGATATACATTTCTCATTCAGAATGATCAAAAATAAATGAATTAACTGACTAATGAGAATATTTAATGAAGCTACATACAAATATTTCAGCTCTGATAATATTTTTTTCAATAAATTAAGCACGTATAACAATAAATAAGGAAAATTTCATTTTATTTCATATATAATACTCTCAATTATATTTAAATGGTGTAAATAAATGAAAATAAATTTTGAATTATTCTGATAAGAAATATATAAGTCTTTGCTAGATGAATGAAGTGATATAAATGGCAGCCAGCACTCAGGAGTGCATATTAAAATATGTCAAGGTTATACATTTTTATTTCAAAATGATCAACAAATGAATATGAGATGAAAGACTTAATAAGTATATATGAGAGAAAGAGAGAGAAGAGAGAGAGAGGGTGACGAAGAGAATTTTTATTATATATATATATATATAAAGTTTCATAAGAAATATTAAGAAGATATAATGATTGATATAAAGATTATTAAGAAATGTTTATACGTATATAAAAGAAGTATAATTATTTTTTTGGAATAAAAATGCATAAGTTTGGTATATATATGAAGCGATTAAAATGGCTTGCCTGCACTCAGGAGTGCATATGATACGTTCACAGTAAGTACATGCGTGCATTCAGGAATGCAAATAAATATATTATGGCAAGGATATACATTTCTGATTCAGAATTATCAAAAATAAACGATGAAAATGCACTTATTAAAGTATATAATAAATAAATATTTAAATATTACTGTTTCATGATATTATATTAAAGAAACAATATTTATCTAATAATTAATTAAGAATATTTTCATACTCTTTCTAATGAAATAATATATTTATATTTAATATAGAGTGCAAATGAACGATACGAAAATTTGAATTATTCTTATTAGAAATGTATAAATCTTGCTTAATGAACAATATGATACAAAAATAACAGCCTTGCACTCAGGAGTGCATAAAATATATCAAGGATGTACATTTGTATTCCAAATTATTTAAACATGATCATCAAATAACAAAGTTCATAGATAAATATAAGAAAATATATATTTTTATTGTATATTAAACGTATATATGAAAGATTCATAAAAAAATATGAAGGAGAAATAATGAATGATATGACAGTGATTTTATAAGAAATGTTTATGCATATATCAAATGAATATAATTATTGTTTGGTATAAAAATGTATAAGTCTTGGTATATAAATAAAATGAATGAAAAGGCTGTCCCACACTCAGGAGTGTGGAATGAAAATAGTTTTGAATAGGGACAGGACTGCATTCAGGAATGCACCTGTCTACTCAAGCATGTAGATTTTTATTTCAGAACAATTATAAATTTTTTATATAATTATTACTAAATCAGTAATTCTTTTTTGTATTTTTTCTATATGAATTCTTTTATATGAATTGTCAAAACAGCCATAAAATGATGTAACCATCATCATTATCATCATCTTATTATGTAGATTCTAACTATTTTGATTAAAAATCTACATGACTTGATGTAATTAGGGAAGTTAGGATCTGTTAAAGCAAGCAACAGCGATAAAATAAATTCATAAAATAAATTCATGTTAATAAAATTATATATTTAATATTTCCATTATTTAATCCTATTATTCTTTTTAAGGTTTCATATTGCATTATTATTTTCATATGCACATTCGAAATATATGGTTTTAAAATTGTAAAAATGTATTACTATATTTTTTATAAATTAATAGATAAAAAAAAATATCTTATATATAAATGATGTAGTATGTACATCAGATACTTGATGTAACTGTATACTTCGCGTATAGTATAAACGTAATGAAATGAAATATTTGTAATCTATCGATTAAATATAGATCTAATCTCATTATGGATATGATTATGGCGGTATAGAAAATTGCGTATGCATTTTGTAATGCGACACAAGGTGTAATATAATTTTGCTATTTTTTGCTGACTTTTTTTTTAACGCGACTTAAGTCATATTATTAAATGGATATTGTGTAAAACACAATTCTCCTTTTTCTTTTCACAACGTGTCTTGAATAACTTAAAACAAATATTTATAATTGTATTTAATAATTATATTTTTAATTGAGAAAAAATTTTTTATTTCAATTTTTAATTCCAATTTTTAATTCCAATTTCTAATTTCAATTTTTAATTTCAATTTCTAATTGAATAATTAATTTTTCTATCATTTTGTATGTCAACGTAATGTTAGTTTAATTTCAATTTAAATATTTATTTTTTAATGCATCAAGAATTCGGTATATTATTAATAAATTAATGGCATTTATTGGCCATTTTAATCTTTTTTTTTGTCTCTTTTTTTTTTTTCTTTTTTTTTTTTTTTTAATTTCAGCATTACAATCTCTGGCTAAAGATAAAAAATTTTTTTATTTATCATTGAGATGTAGTTTCATTGCTTTCATAAGTTTTACTTAAGCCAGTCATTGTACATAATATTTCATCTTTCCACACATGCCCTTTTATGTAGTTTTCTGTTACAGACAATTTTTATTTACAAGTTTTTCGAAGATGAATAAATTATTAGATGGAGTCCAATAGAAATATTATCAACAACATAAATATTCTTTTATCACTGGCCATGAACAACAGTGTGGACAATAATACAATAGTACAAGGTTTGTAATATTGGTATAAATGATATAAGTTATTACAAAAAAAAAAAAAAATTATAGATGTATTGTAAAAGTAATGTATTTTATGTTTCAGGTGTTCCAATTATCAACATAATGCGGATTAAAATACTTGGAATATTTTATGGATGTAAGAATGGATGGATTTTTTTCAAATTATTAAGTTTATTTTCTTATTTATCAATTTAATATATTGAATCATATTTTAATCTAATCAAAGCTGTAATTTTTGTTTCAGGAATTATCATCAGTATTGTTTAGCTTCGATTCTTATTTGATACTTTTTATGTTCACAGGTTTACTTTTGATTCAATCTACAAAAATTGCAAATTAATTTTATTGTATGTTATATCATATTTTAATGTGATTGTTTATATATTAATGTTTATATATTAATGTTTATATATTTTATTGAGATACATGTTAAATATCTTTTTTTGGTTTCAGAAAATTGTTTCTTATGGTCACAGATCGGCTGTTGGTTCACCAGAAAAATTTATAAATTAATTTTATTGTATATCGCATTATACTTTGAATTTATTAATTATGTATTAATCTTGATATGTTTTTTTAAGACATGTTTTTTTAAGACATGTTTTTTAAGACATGTTTTTTTAAGACATGTTTTATATTTATTTTCAGGAAATTATTTCTTATGTTCACAGATTGTCTATTGGTTCCACATCGAAACTTACAGAACAATTTCATTGTATATCCCATTATACTTTAATGTATTATTATTTGTGTATATTTTGTCTATATTTTCAGGAAATTCTTTCTTATGTTCACAGGTTGACTGTCGGAGTTTCCAGATTATATTTTCCGTGAATATGTTTAATAAATTATGCTTTTATTTTAATCAATAAATAAAAGTATAATTTATATAAATTTTTGTCTTTGCGAGTGCATGAACTATTTGCTTCTTTAAATTATTATATAAAATATTATTTTAAATGATATTATTAATATAATCCGTTTTTTGTTTTTTATTGATAATATAGTAATTTTCGCGTTAACCTTGGAATAGAGTAACCAAATCTTATTAAGATTAAAGGTACCTCTTCCTTAATCGGGTAGGTAGGTCGTTCAAACGAATTCATGACTTTTCATCCAATTTAAATCAATTGGAAAAAAATTTGTGATTCGTTTCGCGATTGTTTGCTTGCTTGTTTGCTTGTTTGCTTTTTTCATTTTAATAAGTAGAGTGTAGAGTCTTAGCTCGTGGGTCTCCGAAAGCAG